GCCAAGGCAGCCCCCACCAGTTCCCGGAGACCCATGGGCTCGCCCTAGGGGTGGACAGGGTTCCCCTCTCCTGCCCAGGGGAAGGAACTAAAATGTCACATGCTCCTCAGCCTGACCCAGCCAGGGCCTGGGCTGCCAATCTCCTCCGAAGATACACCTCGTGGGGGCGAGGAAAGGCCGATTGCCAAACCCTGTTTTAAAGAAGAGGGTGAATCATAACCCACACCCCTCTTTCCCAGTGACGGCATGGTGAGCCGTGCAGTCCTCCTGATCATGGAGAAGCACGGAGGCAGGTGATTCACAGCAGTTTCTCCCTGGCGCAAGCCCCTCAGTGACCCCAGCTCACTGAGCCCAACAGGGGTGCCTGGTTTCCATTTTGACCTTAACACATACTTTTCCCTCCTCACCTGCTCCTGTGATTGCCCAGGACTCTCAAACCTTTCTGAATCTAATCTCATGTTTTGCTTTCCACATAGCACAAGAACAGAGCCTATTAAGAGTAAATTATAAATATATATCTTTAAGGGGTACTATGTAATGTAATATTGTGACTTATAAGTATACATTTGGTCATATAATGTAATAGTGTGACTTATAAGTATACATTTGGTCATTTAGATGATTTAAATCTTTTTCTCGTACATGTTTGGTCCTGTCCATAGTTTGACTCACAGCTGCCCCCAAGCCTTGGAATTTTCCGAGAACTGTCATGAAGAGGTCTCTTGCCTTGTGAATGAAGCTCATTTTAGGGAACTACCTAAGGATGGGGGCTTGTTGCCAGCAAAGCCATTTGTAATATAGGGTTGAACCATCCTCCCTGCCTCTGGGGAGGAGAGATGGGCTGAAAGTTGAATCAGTTGCAACAGCCACTGAGTTAATGGACTCTGCTTATGTGATGAAGCTCCACAAAACCCCAAGAAAGAGGAGGTGTTTCTGAGAGCTCCTGAATGGGGGGAAATGGCACAGCTGAGAGGCCCAGCAGCTCCATGCCTTTCCCCCAAATGTTAGCCTACGAATCGCTTCCTCCTGGCTGTTGATTCCCAGCTTTTTAGTATCCTTTGTAATACATTGGGGACCTAGAGTATTAATGGGTTTCCTGGGTTCTGTGAGCAATTGAAGAAACTTACTCAAAGCTGAGGAGGGGGACTCCAGGAAGATCTGTTCTGCAGCCAGTTTTTGGGAGCACAGATAATCACCTGAAATTTCCACAGGCACCTGAAGTCTCAGGAGCGGGCCGTGGGTGTACTCTGATCTCCAGTTGGTCAGAAACCTGATGACCGCCTGGGCTGGTGGCCAACAGCTGAAATGGAGGGTGGTCCTGAAAGACTGACCCTTAAGCTGTGGAAGCAGATGCCTTGCCAGGTGGATGTTGGGACCGAATTGCTTGCCGGGGTGGGTGAACCACGCATGCTCACACAGGAGCCGGATTCCGGAACCCACAACCCAGAAAATGTAAAATCGGAATGCTCAGAACTTGCCTAGAACAAGTTCAAGGACAGTCGTGATCAGATTCCACTTTGAGCTGCCAAGAAGGCTGCCTGGAGCCTGCGCCAGCCCACACATCCCCCACATTCTTCTCTCCAGCAGGTCACTTCTATTCCTCGGCCCTGCCCTTTGGTCTGCAGGGATGGATGTCTACAGCCTGAGAGTGGAGAGATGGACCAAATCGGCATGTCTGGAGCTCGCCTCTCCTCACTCCGAGTCATCGATAAATCTGTCTGCCTTTTCTCTCACTCTGTAGTGAGTCAGGTTTGCAGTAACAGCCTTGGCTTGCTGAGTTTTCCCAGGCTGACGTAACCAAGACACTGTGCAATATTCCCATAAAGTTTCTCGAAGGTCATTTAGCTGCTCAGGTTTATTTTTAAAAGGGTTGGGAATTGCTGGGTGCTCCAAATGTCAACGTCAACCAGTCAAACATCAAATGACTGAGTGTTAAGTCAGAAGTGACCAAAGTCCCTCAGCCCTGGATGACCTCGCGCTAGAAATCTGATACTGCTGTCGGGAAATCTGACGTGCAAAGATGGGGAGGTGCTCAACAGGGGGAGATTCTCGACTCTTGGTTGAGAGGGGGCCACCTTCAAAGAATCAGTGTCTTCTAAGTGGTACAGGATTGGCGGGAGCAGGATCAGGATGCCTAGTTATACGAACGCCGTGACGTCATACCACAAGCACTGGATGTGAACCTGCAAAGTCCAGCAGGAATCTGTCCTAGTGGGGAGAGGGTTGTGTTGGGAGTGGGAAGAATCATGGGTCTTCCCAACCTTCTCTTCTTTATTTCCCAGTATGTTTGCTTCGGTATTGTGGTTACAATATTACAAGGGCAGAAATGGACTTCATTTAAAAATCCAAAAACACTCCCTTTACAACGCAAGTGATCACAGAAATGGTGCATTTTTAGAAACTGTTCATTTCCAGCCTCACGGTGACCTCAACATACTCAGGGGGGCTTTCTGAGCAAAAGATGACTCCTTTGGTCATGGAACAGGATGTCACACACATCTGTCTAAAGAAAGTTCCAGGCTTGACCCAGAAAGAATAAATTCGAAGGTCCCTCTGAGGTCTGGCTACAAGCATTTTCTTTTTTCCGACAGGCCTGTCTGTGGCAATACTCTGCCTGTGGTGGCGCTGACTGCCTGAAGGGGGTGCGTCTGGCCACCAGCGAAAGGAGAGTAGGGGCAGCTGCGGGGGTGGGGGTGGGGGAGGGGCCCTCCCACTTAACCAGAATGGATGGTTCATGGCGGAAAGAGCAGTGACTCCAGACCGTGCCTAATTTGCATTAGTACATGATTTCTTCTATTTTCTCATTAGAAACTAGTCAGGCATAACTGACAGTTCCTACCAATTCAAAGGAAATTAAACTAGAATGTTCTGTAAAGGACAAAATTGTATTCTTGTGTGCAGCGGTAAGGAATGAAGACCCTCCTAACAGGAATATAAATACTGGCAAATTAAATGCACTAAAAAAAATTTTTGACAGGCTGATTTAAGTACATTGGTAATATACCAGTGCTTAATCTGGTTGGTCCTATGGTTTCTGGGTGAAGATTTTGCAGCCACCCACCCCCTTACATGCACACAGGTCCCTTGCAGGTAAGCAAAGCTTGCACACAGCACCGCACAATGAGATTTTCCTCCAGCCGCTTTAGCAGCTCTGGGGTCCCACTCACGGGCACACAGCACCTCTGCAACAGGGATGAGATTACACACAGGAGCCCAGCCTGCGCCAGAGCCTGAGGCTGGCGCTACTTATCTCCATGACAAGAAAGCACAGGGAAGACCCTGGAGTCCTGGGGCTCCAGGCAGAGCCCCTAGGCCACCCACACAGGCCTCACCTTCTGGAGGACAGGCTGTAGAAGGTAAGAAACACCACTGAAACTCACCTTTCCTTCACCTAACACTGTCAAGGCGGAGGCGCACCTTACTCCACGTACGGGGTGAGGCAAAGGACACCCAAAGTTCCCCGCCCCCCCCCACCCCGGAGGTCTTCAAGGTCACAGGATGAGACAGGGACACCGTAGTGACACACCTGACAGAGCTGAGCCTCTGGGGGGTGGAGGTGCATGAGCTGCGCCTGTCTGTGGGCTACACAGGAGTACACAGCAGACTGAGCACTGTGTGATGAGGATGTGGCCAGCGGGCAGGGCAGGAAGGAGGCTCAGACAGACTAAGGGGATCAAGACTTGATCCCCTGAGCTGACGGTGCTGGGGGGCTGGGTGAGGGCTGGTTCCGCAGGTCAGAGCGCCTGTGCCCAGCGGGCTCACCAGCACTACCCGCCCTCTGCTCCCAGAGGAGCGTCCCCTGGTCTGCCTGGTTTGCAGCCTAGAGAAAGGACTGCCAGACCACCCGCACTGCCCAAGGCAGGACTGTCCCCAGACGTGTTGAGCACCTTGGTTCCGCGCTTGCCGGTCTCACCCAGGCCCAGTTTCTGGAGTGTGCACCCACCTTCCAGAGGCAAGGCCGCGTCTGGTGAGCGGTGTCCTCAGACAAGGCTCCCCTGCTTGCACTCTCTACAGCTCAGCCTCCAGGCAGAAGACACTGGGGCTGGGGTTTGGAGGGGTGACTCGGGAAAAGGAACCCTGGCAGCTGGGCTCAGGAGCAGGGGGAGGTGTGGGGGTGAGCCCGAGATTCTAGTGATTCCAGTGATGACCAGGGAGGGAGCCAGAAGAAAGGGGTGCAGCACATGCCAGCGGGGGAGAGGCTGAATGGGGTCCCCTATGGGGCCATGGAGAGGACTGAGCTTTGAATGGGGGCAGCACCTCCATCGCCATCAGCATGGGCACAGGAGGGTCAGATGGCGCAGGCAAAAGTCTCAGCAAATATCAAGACACTTGAGGGATTCCAAGCTGCACAAACCTATTGCTGCCCTGAGTCCTGTAGTTCACTATGATGAGAGGGAATTTATTATCTAGATGTGCAGTATGACCTTCCTTACTGCAGAGTGAAAATGAGCTTTCTTCCAAGGAAAACAATGTGAGCGCGTCACCGCTCTGCGTCTCTACAGTCCCCTGTGGCAAACCCCCGCTGGGGTGGACTCCCACGCTGGCGGCCAAGAGCTCACCTTTCTGATTCCTGGGTCCTGTAACAACTGCTGGCAATGAATCCTGCAGATGGTTGTCCCCAAGGCCTGGAGATACCGGGGTGATGAGGCAGCTGC